TTAGACTGAAGTCTACAAATGGAAAGTACAATGTACACAATTTTAGAAACATGCTGCCCCCTGCCTCGCTCAGCAGAATCAACTCCAAGTACACCCTGGTTGCGTCGATGCAGGACACTTCTGTCACTCTGCAAGACGATCGAGTTACTGGCCTGCTTGTTTTGTATTTCCACCTTGCCAGCCCATCCAAAGTGGCCTGAAAGTAGCTAAAAGCCTCGATCTTAGCTGATACGAAGCCCAAGCAGAGGCGGCCACAGGTCATCCTATAGGCCTTAGCCGCAACTTCTCCGCTTACCTTTTGAAAGATGAGGCTCTTTTTGGCTCTGTGTTAGGGTAAGCACACACACCTAAGGCTGTATAAGTTTCCGGGCTCTAACTTGCCTCAGGAAGACTTCTGCCCTGTTGCTCACTCCTTCCGGCAAAAAGCCCCCGTGCCTAGCTGAATGGACAAAGCGACACACACGCCGCTGCGGAGAGACGTAGAGTGCCGTGCATAGGAGATGGCACAGCCTGAGTGTTATGCCGAGACCACTGGTCCGGCAGGGAGTGATCCACTTCCTGTTCCTATCTCCTTGTGCTCACCTGGCTTTGGGGTAGAAGGAAGGTCACACCTGCTGCTCTCTGTTTTCTCACGGCTCTCATTTCACTATGGCCGGGGGGAGGGGAGGGAGGAAGCCATGTTAACAAAGGAGAAACAGAGCTAACAGTAGGATTCTCTGTAGAGATATCCAATGACTCCTGTGTTCCTAATGCCCCGCCTTCCACCACACCTGCACTGGGCTGAACTGTGTGCCCACCAAAGTCGTAAACCCGGTATTTGTGAATGGGACCTATGTGCAAACAGGGTCTCTGCGGCTGCAATCAAGTTCAGATGAGATCATTCTGGCTCAGGACAGGGAATAATTGCTTAACAGGTGCAGGGTCTCTTTGGGGATGATGAAGTGTTCGGAACTACAGACAGGTGACGGCCACAGACATGGTGTGTGCAGTAAATGCCACCAAACTGTGCACGTTAGCATGGCTCCAACAGGCTGGCTATAGCGGTTCATGCCTGTCATCTCAACGCTTTGGGAGGTCAAGGCGGGTGGATCACTTGAGCCTAGGAGTTCCAGACCAGCCCGGGCAACATAGCAAGACCCTGTCTGTACAAAAATATTTAAAAATTAGCCAGGCATGGTAGCTCACACCTCTAGTCCCAGATACTCAGAAGGCTGCAGCAGAAGGATTGCTTCAGCCCAGGAGTGGAAAGCCGCAGTGAGCTGTGATCATACCACTGCACTCTAGCCTGGCTGACAGCAAGGCTCTGTTCCAAAAAATAAAAAATGTAAATAGGTACATTTTAAGTGTAGTTTACCACCATAAAAAGAGAAAAAGAGGTGGACATGTGGCTCACGCCTGCAATCCCAGCACTTTGGGAGCCAAGGCGGGTGGATCACCTGAGGTCAGGAGTTCAAGACCAGCCTGGCCAAGATGGTGAAACCCTGTCTCTACTAAAAAT